TATCTCTGGGTTCTGAATCCGATGCTCTACCAAAATAATAAACCTAGTCTGAAAAAATTATTAAATTCTATTGAGTGTGATTGAAATACTATAATTCACCGTCTTTGGTCTAACCCTCTAATGCTTCAGCGGAATACGTGGTTTTTTCGAAGCCATCGGTTTTGCAAACCGTGCTTTATTCACACCTGGCCGACAAAGCTCTGTCCGTCGATGACGTTTGGGATCAGGAAAAATTTCTAGTATACCTCGACGCATATCGAAAGGCTTGCAACCATCCTTCTTTGCTGTACTTCGCCGCCGAAAAGGTATTTCTTCCGTTTTTTGTTATTTACTATAATTTGAACTGTTTTATACGCTTCATACGGTACGCTTGGCTGAAGGCAAAACACTGTTATTAATTGGCTTAAATATACGAATTTTGCTCTGTCTTCATACCAGTAGCAATCTGATCAAAGAGCCTACTGTCTTGAAAAATTATTGCTTCAATTTTTGCACTGAATCGGCTATGAATTTTAGAAGGTACATATATATTAAACTGTGTATTATGTAATGTATCGAGATCATATGACAAACAAGGTCATGCGGTGCTCAGAGATGTGGAGATGCATATACTTCTCTATGCCATCAACAGAGCCTTATGGTATTTTCTTTTGATGAAATGCATCTACTGTTCCGTATAAGGGAAACAGTATGAAATAAATATCGGTTAATGCAGAAAACTGAAATTACTTTCCATCTTTCCTCTGAATACTGACGGAACATTCTAGTTTGTTCACCTAAACAGCATTCAGGTTGCGGAAAGAGATATGATGTTTGAAGGGAAGGAATGCTTTGCATTGAATGAATATAATTTGAATGGCAAGGAGAACAAAAATAAGAACAGCAAGAAGGATGATCAATTAATAATGAAGGATGAGAACAGAAATCACACAGAAGCTGATAATGACGCAGAATAAAAACAGAAACAAGCATAAGAACAGTATCCGGAATAACAATAACGTTTCGCAATTTCTATTTCGCGTTAAACCATTTTGTGATAATGGCAGCCCTCATTGCTCAAGCTAACAGTCAGGTGAACGACAAGAGAAAACAGCAGGAAGTGCGGAAGAATGATTAGAAGAGGGTGATGATAAAAGGAAGGCAAGTATGAATAATAAGAAGGACGATGAAGTGAGGAAAAGAGCTTGATGATCGAGAATCAGAAACAGAAGGAAATTGAGGGAGAAAGCAAAAGCGAAAATGAAGAAAGAAAAAGGAATATGAACGAAAACAGGTTAAGATATGAAGAAGTATCAGAAACCCGAAACAACAGATGCTAAGAATATAAATTGAAAATACGTTCAGAAACGAGAAAGAGGGAAAACTCAGTTATTATTCGGATGGGCGTGACTAGCATTTGGAAGTGTAAATAATAACAATTAATAAAGTATATATCCGAATTAAAGATAAAATAGAAATAGTATATACTGTGCATTGATTTCATAAGTACTTGACTTAAAAGTAATTGATAAACATAAGAAAACCTTGTTATATTAAAGAGAACCCAAAATCTGGCATATAATTTTACCAGATCTCTGAGGGAACTGTTCAGTTCAGAGACCTTTTATCATCGTTCCCATTATTAGTGC